TATATATATATATATCTTATTCATGGAACTACTTTATAGTTGCATCTTCACCTATTAGGTCAACTTGTATTGTCTTTGTAATGTCTTTCCATGAGAATATCTATCTTCAAATCTTTCAAAACAAAGTGGATTCTTATAGAAGGGCATTAATAAGACAAAAAAGAAGCTTGAATCTGGAGTTTGGGGTGGAACTTTGTAGGTAAAAGTAAAACATATGAAACTAGCTTTCTTTTAACTTTGGCTTTCGTCTTTGCTTGGCCAAAAAGAACAATGGAAGTTAGTCTTTTGGAAGCAGTTTTCCATTTGGATATGATGCATGATTTCTAGATGGTAAAACAGGTCAACCTAGCCCAATGGTGTCTCAACTGCCTATTTTTATTCAACTGATGGGAAGGTCAACCCATCAATTTTTAACAGTTAGTTAGGCTGTGTAGCATGGCTAATTTTTTTTTATTTTTTATTTTGTGGGGGTGGGGGGTGGGCAAGTGATTAGGGGTTGACCACCTGCAGCTGCAACCAACATTGAATAGCAAATTGTGAAGATTCTAAAAATAATGGAAAGATTACAAATATGTATTGAAGACATTGTTTTGGATGATACTGCTAATTTTGAGGAAACTATTATGAAAAAATCCAATCATCTATAGCAAATTCTCTTTCAAGTCAATGTGTGTCTAAAGAAAGTAATTGTGAGGAAAACTCTTTAGAAGCCATCTAAACAAATAGCAACCTAAAACCAATTGTCAACATTGAACCTAAAACCAATTGTCAACATTGAAGATCAAGTTTTGAAGATTCTAAAATTAATTGTGTCCTTTAGATTCTAATTTTAACCATTCATTAATGTCAGGATCAAGATTTGGTTCTTTCTCTTCTCATGATAACTGCTCTCACTTATATGTTTCCCATATACGTGGATGTATGTGATAGTAGCTATCATGACTGTTTCATATCAAACATGCTAACAATGGTTGCATCAATGCCAAAAGCACAAATGAGGTAGCTGTAATTGTTATAAATAGTTAACTGTATGTAACGAGCTTGTTGCTAATGAAATGATATTCAGTTCAATTAAGCTTCTTTTGTCTTTAAAGGTTCAATGTCAACTAATGTTCAGTTCATTTGATATTTTAGTAAGTTTGTTGTTTCCCTTTTTCTAAATGCAATATTTGTTTTGTTGTTCAGTTATTGACATAAGAAACTTGATGTATGCTGTGATAAATAGATGGTAAACTTATCTGGTCTTTTATGGAGTCATAATGTCTGATAGAGTCTTCAAATGGTTTTCTGCTCCGGGATTTCTCTGGCTGTTTAAAAAATATGAATTATATACGTTGCACTCAATTATTTCTTATTTTCAGCTGGCAGTTTATTAAGTATCCAAAACTGTATTCTTATGATAGGATATTTATGTTTTGGGAGGACATTCTGTTTTAACTTGATTCTTATAATAAACCTTTTGTCCAAGTCCAATATAAATTGGGAATTCTTGCCACTGTTCTATAATGAAGTATTATGTTTTTCAAAAATTTTAAAAATTTGCAGATTTGATCTGTATAGTAAAAATAGTTAAATGGTTGAAATTTGATGTAGGAAATGAGTTATTGAGTGAAGTAAATTTATCAATTTTTGGATTAAGTAGATCCCTCTTTATATATATATATATATATATAACTAAGTTGATGAATCTCTTACTACTATTGAATAGAGATGAGGTGGAATGGAATTTTTTTTTAATCTAGAGGGAGGGAGATTATATAAGAAGGGGAAAACTGTAAAATGTAGCATGATACTAAATAAATTCCTTTTCCACTAAGTTTCGAGCATAACGACTTAACGAGTTCCAAACATAGGATTTCATTTCCAATAATCACATCAAATTATTTATATCTATATTTTTTTTTTTTCTGATTCCAACACAACCCTTGTCACGGGGTTTAGTGGCTAGGGAGCTTTGTACCGAGATACCATTTGTCAAACAACAAGGTTAGAACATGATGCAAGCAGTGGTGACTGTCAGTCAAGCACTTCCCATCTGCTGATAGATATCACCGATCCTCTTTTTTGTGTACTCTTTTCTAGATCCCTTAAAATAGATAAATATGATCGTTCTATTCTATATTCCTTCATTGGTTATTTAATATGTATATGTACGTACTAAATTTTATTCCTTGGAGTCTCATGTCGTACTCTATTTGGCGTTTTCTTATTTCCAGATTGAGATATTTGCGGACTGACTTCAGAACTGTTTGTTTCAATTTCAATTGCAGATATTTTCAAGGGATTCCTGAGGCAGCGGTTCCAGAGAATGAGCAGAGGGGTGGATGTTCATGCTGATAAACTCTTCAAAATCTTTTTGGTCATATAGTGTATACTGTATGCCCGGGATTGTGCGAGTAATGTACCTTGAGGTTGCCATTTTGATAAACTGTACCATTTATTGTAGTCCTGTTTTAGGAAGGACGAGGTTGAGAATATTGCACTCGCAGGAAAAGCATGTTGAATGGATAAACCACGACCTGCGAGATGCGGCATGGACCATGGAATGTTTAAATAATTTTTAAACTATTATTTTCCCTTGATTGTCAAATTGTGATGCGGCGTGGACTATGTAATGTTTATATTCTGTTTGAATGGTACGTAGCAGACATTGATTTCTGGTGCTTCACACAGATGTATAATTTTTGTTTCCTTTGCAATTATATAAAAGAAAATATAAGTGATAAATTATAATTGTAATTTTTTTAATCTTATTAATTTTAAGGACTAAAGTGATATTATTTTACAAATTTATAGTGTGTTTGAATGAGAATTTTTCCATTAACAAAATACTGAATGAAAAATTTTAATCAAATAACTTTTCTTAAAGAATTTTAAATATATGAATATTTTTTTATTATAAATGGAGTGAACACAAATAAAATAATATTTGTATCTTTTAAGTAAAATATCAAAATTACTTATATTTATACATTTCAAGTGTCGATGAAAGTTTGAATTTAATGATCATTAAACTAATAATTTTATTAATTTATAAAAAAAAATCATAAAGATGATGATGAAGATTAAATTTAAGTTTTTAGGTTTCTACTCTAATCTTGTAATCATTAGACTAATTTTAGTAGTTTAAACTAATGTATTTAATTATTACATGAGTGACTTAAATAATTTTTACATAATATTTTAATGTAAAACTAGATATTTAATTATATTATAATTTATTAGTTTGATTATTGACCATCGACTCATCATTCTCAATTAACTTAATTGCTGGTTCAAATTTTAAAACATCAATTATACATGAAATATTCATTCAAAAGAGAGGAAAGGAAAAAATTAAGAATAAAAAATCTTTAAAATACTAAATTTTAGTAGTAAGTTGTATAGTAGATTGTTAAAAATAGAAACTTTTAAAAACATACTTTCTTAATGAAAATAATCCACTTTCTTGCATAAATTATTTGTGTTATAAAACAAAAAAAAAAGTAGAGAGAACAAATAAGGCAATATAAGATAGAGAAAATAATCTAACTGATGTATTATCTTTGGGGGAAGATTAACCTATTTATAAGTACATGTGGTAGTTGAACAATTACATAAAAAGAAAATAATACATAATGAAAATATAAATGGTAATAATTGATAGTGAATATTAGCATCCACTAATTGAGCCACTAGTTATTATTCATAACACTCCTTCTTGGATATCCAATATTTAAAATGTGTCTCTTTAAAAACCTTACTAGGAAAAACCCTATGGGATAAAAACCTAGTGGAGGAAAAATAGTATATCATTCGTAAATATTTATTTCTCCCCCTTATGTATACAATTTTTAAGACAACGGAGTCTAATCTTGTGTATCAATTGTTCAAAAAAATTTCTTGGAAGTAACTTTGTAAGAGATCTGCTAGGTTGTCACTTGAGTGGACTTGTTGAATATTTATATCACCATTCCTTTGAAGATCATGAGTAAAAAAGAATTTCGATAAAATATGTTTTGTTCTATCTCTCTTTATGTATTCATCTTTCAATTGTGTAATACATGTCACATTATCTTCATATATAACTATCGATGTTATTTTTCCAGAAGATAAGCCACAAGTTTCCCGTATGTGTTGAATCACATATCTTAACCAAACACATTCACAACTTGCCTAATGTAATGCTAAAATTTCAACATGATTAGACGAAGTGGCTGATATGGTTTGTTTTACATATCGTCATGAAATGGTTGTACCATTACTTATAAACAAATATCTTATTTGTGATTTACCATTATGAGAATCTGACAAATAACCTACATTTGCATAACCATTTAGTTATGGTTTATGAATATTTGAATATAATAACCCCATATTCATTGTACCTCTAAGATAAAGAAGGATTTGTTTAACTCCATTCCAATGTCTTTGTATAGGTGAAAAACTATATCTTGCTAACAAATTAACAACAAATGCTATATCAGGTCGTGTATAATTAGCAAGGTACATTAGTACTCCTATAGTACTGATATATGGTACTTTAGGACCAAGTATTTCTTCATCATTTTCTTGGGGTCTAAATGGATCTTTGTTAACATCTAAAGATCTTACAACCATGAGAGTGCATAATGGATGTGATTTATCCATATAAAAATTTGGCTAAAAACCTATTTTGGTCCCTTATAATAATTGTTTGTTTCATTTAGTCACACTTTTATTTTTGGTCTCAATTTGGTCCCAAATAAATTAATTGATCTCAATTTGGTCCCTAATAAATTAATTGGTTTTAATTTGGGACTTTCGTCCAAATTATTTAAACGGAGTTAACTGTGTGGGCACGTGGATGCCACGTGGATGCATAGGTGGATGCATAGGTAGATGCCAGTTTTTTGAAAACACCTGGAACCAGAACGGCCCATTCTGAAACCAGAACGGCCCGTTCTGAAACCAGAACAGGCCGTTCTGGTTACACTTTTGGTGTGTTAATTTTGCATCCGGAACGGCTCGTTCCAGGTGCAAAATTTACACACTAAAAATGCAACCAGAACGGGCCGTTCTGGTTTCAGAACGGACCGTTCTAGTTCCAGACTGCTCAGCATAAATGATCAATGATTATAGTTCACGGTTGTGAATCATGGAGGGAAAAAGACCCAAGGTACAAAGCATTTCAAACACTGAATTTGGAAATATTGTCAATGAAAATTGATAACTTCAATTACTAAACAGTTAGGCTATACAATGTATTATTAAGGACAATGTAATGTATCACTAAAGACAATGGTAGTAGATTTTATTTCATTTCAAACTGGAGTGAACCACTTACTACCAAATTGACACTATACAGTAAAAGATGAAATAACATAGTATTTTTTTTAAGTCATTAACGATGTACCCCAACAACAACAACCTGTTCTTGAAGAGGTAGAACCTGAAGTAAAGGAAGAGGATACACAAGATTAACATTTCACCACAACCATATGTAGGGATAGATCTAAGTTAATCATAGTGGGGGCACTTGCCCCCACTAAAATTTTTTTCATTCTTTTTTTTTTATATATAAAATATTAATAATTTTATAAAATATATATTATTAATTATATTTTAATTATGTTGTTATATCTAATATAATAAATATATTAATATTTTTTTATATTTTATTTTATTGTTTAATTGTTTTTTATTTTGTGGTAAAATTATCTTCATTTTTAATGAAGAAAAAATTTACTTACTTCAAGAGTAAGTCTTGATAGATTTATTCTATTTAATAATTAATGTTCTATATCAAATTTTTAAGAATTTAATTGTTAAATTAAAAAGTTTTTCATGTATAGATCAAATTTATAAAAAAATTTAAAAAATTAAAAATCATATGATACTTCGTTAAATTAATTCAAATTAACATATAAAATATTTTTGTTTTAAATGAATGTAAAAATTTAGAGGACACTAAAAGAAAATAAATTAATAATTTTATTATATTTATCCTAATAATTTTTTATCATATGCCCGTTCTGCAACCTAAACGGCCCGTTCTGGTTTCAGAACGGACCGTTCTGGTGTACTGGTGGTGTGTTCATTTTGCATCTAGAACGACCCGTTTCAGATGCAAAATTAACACACCAAGAGTGCATCCAGAACGGGCCGTTCTAGTTCCAGGTATTTTCACAAAATTTGGCATCCACGTGGTATCCACGTATCATCTACGTGACATCCACGTTGCCAACAGTTAACTCCGTTTAAATAATTTGGACGGAAGTCCCAAATTGAAATCAATTAACTTATGAGGGACCAAATTGAGACAAAAAATAAAAGTGGGACTAAATTGAAACAAACAATTATTATAAGGGACCAAAATAGGTTTTTAGCCTAAAACTTTTTAAGCGCCTTTATTATATAAGTTTCTTGATCCACAAAAGTTTCATTTTCTAAGTATTTAATTTGCAATCCTATACAAAACTTTGTCCTTCCTATATTTTTCATTTCAAATTCTTTCTTTAAGTAATCTATTGCTTTCGAAAGCTCTTGAGGAGTTCTAATGATGTATATGTCATCTACATAAACTATAATTATGGCAAATTCATTTTCAGATCTTTTTATAAATATACACAGACAAATTGGATCATTTTTATATCTTTCTTGTGTCAAATATTCACTTAGTCGATTATACCACATACGACCTGATTGTTTTAGCCCATATAAGGACTTATTCAACTTGATTAAATAATTTTCTCTAAAAATTGCATCGTTAGACAAATTAAATCCTTTTAGGAGTTTCATATAAATGTCAACATCAAGAGAGTCATATCAATATGTTGTAACTACATCCATTAGGTGTAAATTAAGTTTTTCATGTACAACCAAACTAATTAAATATCGAAAAGTACTTGCATCCACTACAGGTGAATATGTCTCTTCAAAACTAGTATTGTTTTGTATCTCACAATTTCACCATTTTCATTTCATTTTTGCACAAAAACTCATTTGTATTCAATTGGTTTTACACCTTTTGGTGTACATACTACTGGTCCAAAAACTTTTTGCTTAGCAAACGAGTCTAATTTTGCCTCAATTGCATCTTTCCATTTTGACAAATCATTTCTTTGTGGAAAATCATTGATGAACTTTGGTTCTGGATCCTCAATATCATTTATTACATTTAGTGCTATATTATATGCAAACACGTCATTAATATTGACGTTGTTTTGATTCTATCGTATTTCATTTATGACATAATTTGTTGAGATCTCTTCATTTTCAATAATTTCAAGTACTTGAGTTTCTTCTGGAACTAGAATATTAGTTATGTTAGATGAATCTTTTTGAGTTTTTACATCCTCAATTTGATTATTTTGCTCTTTAGCCCCCTTTTTTATTTGAAGATTCTTATTCTTGGAACTAATTGGTCTATCAGGCATATTTATGACTCGTTTGCAGTATTAGATTGTCCAACATGGACTTAGACTCTTATTGGAGCATTAGCCGCTGGTACGTATGACTTAGTCACCCCTTTTGAATTTGTGAATACACTTGGTAATTGATTGGCTAGATTTTGTATATGAGTTATCTTTTGAACTTCCAGTTCATATTGTTTTGTACGAGGATCAAGATGAGATAATGATAATTCATTCTAACTAATATTTTTTCTATATATTTATATTCTCCCCCTAATGTTGGAAAAATCAACTCATTAAAATGGAAATCGCCAAATCGAGCCATAAATAAATCTCTTGTTAATGATTCAAGATATTTTTTTATAAATGGAAATTCATACCCAACATATATTTCCAACATTCTTTAAAGGCCCATTTTAATTTTTTGAGGGGGGGGGGTAATTGGAACATATATAACATACCCAAAGATTCTTAAATGAGAAATATTGGATTGTACTTCACCAAAAACCAACTGTAAACGAGAGAATGTGATAACTTATTGGCCTGATGCGAATTAATACTGCAACATGTAAGATTGCATGCCCTCAAGTTGACATTGGAAGTTTTGATCTCATGAGTAATGGTCTTACAATTAGTTTTAAAGGTTTGATGAATGATTCTGCAAGTTCATTTTGTGTATGAACATGTGTTACTGGATGTTCAATATCAATTCCAATAGACATACAATACTCATTAAAAGTATGAGATATGAATTCACCAACATTATCCAAACGAATTTTCTTAATTGGATAATGAGAAAAATGAGTTCTTAATCTAATTAGTTGAGTTAATAATCTCGCAAACGCGTGGTTGCGAGTTGATAATAAATAAACGTGTGACTATCTTGTTGATGCATCAATTAAAACCATAAAATATTTAAATGGTCCACATGGGGGTGTATTGATCCACAAATATCACCCTGTATCCGTTCTAAAAATAAGATAGCTTCATTCTCAAATTTTGTTGGTGATAGTCTAATTATTAACATCCCTTGAAAACAAGCAGTACATGAGAAAATATTTGATTAGAGAGTCTCCTAGCTCTTCAATAAATGTTCGCATGAATTTTCAATTATTTTTCGCATCACAATAGTCTTAGGGTAACCCGATTGATTATGTCAAACCTCAAATTTATTTTGATTTGTAAACTTCTAATTTATAATAGTATATGTGTTTCAACTGTATTAACATACATACAATACAGTCCATAGGAGAAAACAGATAATTTTTCCAATACTTCCTTTATATTTAAGTGGAATTTCATGATATAAAGATATTCTACATTATCTCCCTTGTTTGTTTCAATATGGAACCCGTTTAAACGAATGTCCTTGAAACTTAATAAGTTTCTGTAAGACTTAGAAGAATATAATGCATTTTTAATATGTAACTTCGTTTCTTTTGATAATAATATATTAGTTCTTTCGGAGCCTTCAATTATATTTGTAGTACCATATAACATTAACTTCTTGCATTATTGAATATGAGAAGACAAAAACTAATACATTAGAACATTCACTTCAAAGAATTAAATAATGCTAGTTAAAATGATCTCTTGCATAAAAAAATCTCAATATTTTGTTTTAGTCTTCAAGAGATAATAAACCAACTTAGGATATTTCTTAACTTTTTTTTATTTTAAATATTGCCACTTCTTGAGCAAATTAGATGTATGAAAAATGTACTAAATCATTGTAAAAATGACATTTTTGCTATGTATCATCATACATCAAATTAATGTCAAAATCTATACTAATATTTTTATATCATCTCATGTATATTATCTAAAAATAAATGTTTCATACAAAAAAAATATTTAAAAGACATATCTCATTAACGCTTTATTTTATCATTTTAGGAAATGAATGATACAATACAATCGTATATTCTTTTAAAAAAACCATAACTCTTTAATGTTTATGTCTTTCTCTTATTTAAAAAAAATGAATCTTTATAATAATTAATAACAAAATGATAAAATATTTTCTAAAAAAATTATGTATAAAAATATATTTATGTCATTGCTAGGTTGACTTTAAAGAGAAAAATAATGTTAAAAATTAAGAAAATTATTTTCCTTATAAATACTATATCGAAAAAATTAAGGAAATAAAAGTTGATCATGTTTTTATTAAATTTTATCATTCCTATACAAATTATAATTGAATGAAATATCCACTAATTAAAATAATGGACACATAACATTATGAAAATAAATAATATCAATTCTATCAATAAGATTTAAAGTCAAATTCTTTAAAATTTAATAAAACAATACGCAGATTCAATCACATAGTATGACAATTATTTCAGTCAATTTGATTAAGAACAATACCAAATTACAAAAGTAGAGAACTCAACCATTTATAAAAATCACACGTAAACCTAAAAAGATTTAGGGACCGTTTCACTATCCATAATTTTTATGAATATCCCAAATATCATTTAATATTACAACAATGATCTTGACAAAATTTTTCCACTTCCGATGATACTCTTATTTATACCAAAGGATAAAACATAATATTTATATCATATTTATTTCTTTATCAATTATTTTCTTTTTCACGTTTTGGTAAAATTTTCACTTATGGTGAAAATTATTTTATTTTTTTACTTTTCATATCATTTTCTCACTTCGGGTGAGAAAAAAGAAATATTCTTTTGTTTTCATTATTGCACAATTTTCCCACTTATGGTGAGAAAAAAAATATTCTTAAAAATTTCTTTATTTGACAATGTCTTCTAGATCATTGCAATAATGTTCTTAAAATTCTATTTTCATGATTTTGACTTCAAGACCAATTATATTTTAATTTCACAATGATATGAACAATACAAATATACTATGAAATAAATAATGTGAAGAATATGATTAAAGATAGAATATAAATAAAGACTATTGTGTTAACTCCAATGAAGGAAAGACTATCATGTTAATAACATGTTATTAAAAAAAAAAAGTAGAGAGAACAAACAAGATAATATGAGTTAAAGAAAAGAATCTAATTGGTATTATTTTCAGAAAGGACTAACCTATTTATAGGTAGTTGGATAATTACATAAAAAGAGAATAATACATAATGGAAATGTAAATAATAATGATTGATAATGAATATTAATATCCACTAGTTGAACGACTAATTATTCATAACAATTTGAAATTTCATTTATTTTCTACGTTTTTTAAATAGCTAAATCACGTAACTCTTTCTTATAATCCATCGTAAATTTTTTTAATATATTTCCATGATTGAAATTAATTTAAGTACTTTATTTTTATAAATTTTCTAAAATTTTTAAAATCTTATTTGATAAAGTTATTTCAATGTTAATCATAAATACATTTTAATTACATTTTCTTATATGTTTTTATAATTTTAAAGTATTTATATTATATTAACAACAATTAATTTTGAACGAACTGTTAGTCCGTGGTCACATAAACAACGTGGTTCCCTCGCGTCCTCACTTTTCATAACTTTCTTCTTCACTGCTATTTGCCATGGCGAATATCTCACTGGCAACCGCTTTGAGAACTCTCTTCACTATTTTGGGACTCCTCATGCTTGTTACTCTTCTCTACACTCTCTTAACCGATGGTCTTCCGTTTCGCAAAGAACTTCTCACACCGTAACCTCTCAATCTCTTACTACTCCCAATTTCATATACCTCAGCAACTCATGTTTGTGCGTACCATTTTATTTAAACAATTGAATAGAAAACGATAGTAGAATTACTCTATTTTGTCTATCTTATTTGGCATCTTTCTCTCTGTATGGAATCAACAAGTCCTAATTTATTTGATTCAGGTGGATGACAGCAACTTTGGTTGATTTCTATATCAACGTTGTAGCTTTGAGTGTAAGTCAACGACTTATTGACTTGGTTATTTTCTTCACTATTTTAGTGTGACAGCACATATCATGAGGAATCTATTATCTATCCATTGTTTTAGTGATTACTGCATTGACAGAAAGGATATTTTAATATTTAGTGATGCTAAATTCTAATTTAGTGTACCAAAATCAGCTTAAGATACAGAAAGGGGCATGATTAATGATAAACTTTCGCAAATATAAGTTATCAAATTCTAACGTGAGATATAAGTTCTGGGCAGGACTGAGTCAGTAGACTGATCTTGTGCAGTGTCTTGAGCTGCTGTGAAATTTCAATTGTTCAACTTCCTCTGAAAGTTTGGTGCAGTTTTCTTAAGGAAATTCATTTCTTGTGCTGCTATTAGGGGTGTTTGCTGTGCAGTTTAGTTGGATTATTTTTCTTAAAAGTCACTGAACCAAATAAGAAAATTGAGTACAGTTTGGTTCGAATGAATTATGAAATTTGAACTAAATCAAACCAATCTTTTGCGACTTGGTTTGGTTCGGTTTTTGCAGTTTTAAAATTTATTATTGAAAATATTATGTTAGTTGTTTAGGATTGTACGTAAAAAAAAAAATTAAAAATATATAAATATTAAAATATTTTAGTCACTTAATTTAATACCAATTTTTATCTTATTATTTTAGTAAAAACATTTCTTTAAAACAATTTTAGTTATCATATTAATTTTTTTTTTCTCACATATATGTATAGATTGTCACTTAAAAAAAAATATTTTCAAATGTTGTAAATAATTTATAATTTTTCATTCTAAAATTCAATTTAATAACCTACAATTTTATAAAATACCTTATAAGTATTATAACGCATATTTGGAGAGAAAAATACTTTTTAGTAGTTTACAATTTTATAAAATATCTTGTATGCTATGTGTCATTTTTGTATACATGCACTATACATTTGGAAAAAAAAATGTATACAAATAAGTGTTTGGTTTGATTTGGAGCGGTTTCACATTTCAATTTGAAATCCGAACCAAATTGTACGGTTTGGAAACTTAAAAACCGAATCAAACTGCTAATTTGTGGTTTTCCATTGGTTTTTGGTTTTTTGGCTCGTTTTGTGATTTTTTTGTTTGCTTTAGTTTGGTTTTGAACAATCCTAGCTGCTATGTGCCCTTATAATTTTTCATGGGAATATTAGTCAACTTGAGGAGACTTTTATTTCGTACTTGTTTTTGTGATTTACTTTGTCACTTATCTTCTAAACAACTCACAAGTCACAGCTTTGCAAATTTAGTGCATGTTTGGTTGGGGTTACTTTTGGAGAAATAATCACTTCTCAAGCAAAGATTCATAGACTCTCACATACATTGTCTATCACATTAGGTTTGGGTTGTTTACAAGGAAGCAAACTGGATCAGCTCAATTCTGTGGATTGTTTTTCTTGTCTGCTTTGGAAGGTACCCCTTTCTGTCGTGAATTGATGTTATTTTTAATTGAATAATAATGTGTAATATTGCTTAACTGAGGCTAGTAAGATGACAGTATAATCTGGGCTGTCAGCAGAAACATTTGGACAAGATGATCTCTACTTTTCTAAGACATTTTCCAAATTATATTACCTTGTTCTGCTATAATATTAAATAAAATAAAAATCCAACCAGATGTCATGGTTTCTAATTTTTGGCTTAAATATAGCTTTCAATGCCTATTCAAAAGTGCATGGCACAGTACAAGTGGATATCAAAGGTCATGATTTCTTATGTTTAATTTAAAATATAATTGCTCTCGGTGCTATATAGTTGTGCATGGAACAGTCAAGTGGTTCAAGGATCTAATAATGCTATATACTTCATCTTTGAAATGACTTTATGTGTAATGCATCATAACTTTTTCTCCTGATTCATGTCAGCTTAGTTGTGTGTTTTACTGACAGAAACTGTCAGAAAGTCACATTGTAATTATCTTTTCATGATTCTTGTATTAGTTCTGATTAGAGAACAATTATGTACATTTGTCTCTCTGGTAATAACATGTCTACTAGATTCAACATTTCTTTTCTGTTTTCCTGTCATTTGTTGCACCAATGGAGAAAGCTGGCTGGCAGCAATACTCTGATTTCATATTACTTTCTAAATGTAAAATGCTCCTTATATATAAAAGCTCAGATTGATCATGAGTTTATGTTGTTTCTTTTCCTGTTATGATCATTTAAAGGAATCTTAGAAGTGCTAATTTATTTTCTCCTTATTTTTTTGTGTTTTTTTAATTGTTTCAGCATCACTACATCCGTGTATATTGCTGTGCAATTTTTGAAGCTGTCATCTCAAGAATCTTCACAGGATCCTATGTATTATGTTCTGTTGCGGCATCCAAACAAGTATGTCTACAGAAGAAATACTACAGAGTCAAGTTTTCTCAACATTTTTCATGCTTTTTAAAAATTTGATCTATTTTCTTGACCCATGGATACTTGTGTCACTCCATTTGCCATCCAGCTTATGCTTCTAAACAAATCTTCTCTTTCATTTGTTATTATGGAGAATGACCAGTTTGCTTGCTGTTGATTCTGAAAATAATATATTGGTTTTCTTACTTTATTCAGCATGAGGATTGTTTAATTTTTAATGAATTTGATCTACTTTGTATCAAAGAAGCAAAAAGATGATACAGAGTCATGTGCACTATGATGTCCGAAGGGTTTTTTCTTTTTGGAATTTATGAAATATATGAATTTTAAGGTGTACCTTAATTTTTTTTCTTCCTGTTTCTAAATTTTGCATTATAAATTATTGTTTTTACAAGCTGTGTAAACTATTCCTGCT